AGAAACAGCATTACTCCTTTTAATATTCATCATACTGAAGTTTTAAAATGCTCAGAATAATTGAGATTTTTGGGCCATGAAGCATATAGCCAGGTGCAAAATTTCCGGATGCACGTGCTAAATACAAATAATCCTCAGGGCTTCTAAAGACAGTTAGGTGCTATGGTGGTTTGATTTTTCCCCATACTGCTTTACAGGAAGTATTTTTATCATATTTACCTCTTAGTTGTTGAGAGATGTTGATTGGCAGACAGCATCTCTATCACTTTTCTCAGTACTAATGGCTTCAGCAAAATGAAAAATGGCCTTGTATTGGCTAAACCCTATTCTTTCTAATTCTAAAGCAAGCAGGGACAAGATTCATTAGCATGTTAATAGAACTTTGCACCCTAAGGTTCTGGTTTATCAGATATTAAGAATGCATTAGCAATTCACAAACAGTGATGGACAGGATTTGTTAGCATGCTAATGCTACCTGAAAATAAATGGTTATTGTGGTATCTAGAATCATGCACTCACTGAAGGAATAATTTAAACATGAGCTTCTTATTTTGGTAAGCTTTCCCTGTAACATAAAACACTGCAATGTTTTCAAAGATGATTGTTGACTTTTAGCATATTAAAATTGGAATATTATCTTAAGATTCTTTGAAAAGGCCAGATTTTCAGATACTCAGGTTTAGATTATGTATCACACCTAATCTAGTGATTAGATCTCTGTATGTAGTTGAGATACCCAGTGGTTGGTATCATGTAACCATAGTGAAGACAGCCAAAATCACTAGCAATTTTTGTTTGCACAGTAGACCAGTTTAACCTCATTGTCCACTTACACAGACAGGATTTGTTTCATAATGGTTTCCAGCTCACTGACAAGATTTCCCAGCCTACTGTCATATATTGTGGTTTTGATGCATAAACATGTGGATCAGGCTAGAGAAAGTGCGTCAAGATAGGTGAATTTGAATAAAATTGTATTTGGGATTCAAAGGTCATTGAAAACACAATATTTTTGCTAGACTTGATATTGTTTGAGGCTGAGTTTCACTTAGCATTTTAGTTTGTCTGATTGATTGAGGGAACTTAAATACCAATACATAAAAAAAAACGCAGCACATTTCCATGAAATTGGCTAGTATAAAAATTCTGAGTTTCCCAAAACTGTAATGAATGATAGTTCTTTTTGATTCATCTTGGTGCTTGAAGTGAAATTAATCTTACATAAAATCAGGCAGATTTACCACTGTGCCTATGGTGTTTTCTATTCTTTATAGTTTTTCTTTTTTGTATGCTTTTGATTCATAGTGCACCTAAAGCTAGAAGCTGACAGACTATCACTTGCGCAGATAGCTGCTATTCTCAAATACTTTTAATAGGTTTATGTTAAGTTGGCAGGGAAAACGGGCAATATAAGCACTATGATAATTGTTGGTACATATAATACTTTGGATGTGAATCTTACCAAGAAAGCTGCAAGGAACACTTCTGGAGCTGTAGTTGATTGAACATATCTGCTTCTTCTTCTTCTTCCTATTATTGTTCCTAAGAATAATAACATAGCTTCCACCTTGTTTATGTAGATTAAGAAATTCACTTGGGACCTCTCCCACATAGTCAGCAAAATTCCCAGTCTTCAATTGCAGCAATGCAATTAAATAAGATGTGGCCAAGGAACCAGACAGATCACAGTTTAGCCAGTTTTGGATACCTGAAAACAAACCCCAATTTTTCAGTCACCATCTTAATAGTTTCAAGTATAGGCTTAACTTCACCTTCATACTGAATTCCCCTCTCCCCCATACTTAACCCTCCAAGTAAAGGCACTTGGTGTTTTCTCAAGGTGTAATGTGCTATACAGTACTTCATGTCTATAGATTTAGGGTGATATTTCATTTCTTTCATCTGAGTGCTGGTTTTGGGTAGGCATCAGTCTACAAACTTCCACCCCTCAGATTGTGCTGACCTGGTATGATTGGGCCAATGAGTTTCACATGAGGAAAATGTTGCCATACCTCAAACAGATGCCACCTCCCTACATAGCTTCTTCCAGCATGTACTGACTCCGTTAAGTGGTCAGTAGAGAGAGCTGATCTAGATCCTGGAGTCCTACAGCTGCACTGTGAAGGAACAATGACAAAACTTTGTAGGATCTGTGAATTTTTAGGATCTCTTTCGACTGCTCTTTAGGCTAAATTGTTCCATCTCTTCTAGCTCATCGACTAGTAATTTGAGTGCTAAATTGAGCTACATAACACACCCATAATTGAAGGGGTTTTATTATGCCTTCCTTGACTTTTCTATGAGTCAACTCAAGAAGCTGTATTACTTATTTTCCCTCAGTGAACTAAGAGTGAGTTAGAGTGGTGGGAGAGGTGAATATGCACATTATATGACATGTGAGGATGGTAAATAAGCAGCGCCTCTGGATCTTAATCAGCAAAAAGTACTTCTAACAGCTCAGAAATGCAACATGTTTGCCTCTATGTCTACATTACCTGGGCTAGAATTGGAGAATATTAGGAAGGATACAGGTAAGCACTTTATATTAAATGTGCAGCTTGGAGAAAAAATTATTAGTGCTATCTCAATATGTTATTTAACAGTGTACCTGGTATCCAAAATCACTATTCTGTACAGGGAAGAGTCCTTCATTTAGTCCTCCACAACTAACTCTAACCACATCATACATCAGTAAAATCACTACCCCTTTGTTTTATGATAGCAGAGCCATTTGTACTGCACCTATACTTGGGAATTTCTTCTTGTGATCACTAATTCTTTTCTTAAGAAGTTCCTGGATATAAATTAACATGGAAGTAATAGGAAATCAAGACTTGGAGAAGGAATGCTATATTAATATTAACATCTTTTTTTCATTTAGTACTCTTATGTTGAAATGCTCAGAATTTATAGTCTGAATATAAGCCAAGTCATTCCACTCACCATTAAAAAATCCTAATGAAAGACATTTCTTCTATCAGGATGCACCAGGAATCACACTTCACTCTTACTCAGGATATTTTATCCACAGATCTCAATGCACTATACAAAAATATAAAAGCACTTAAGAAATTGCTTGAAAACTGGTTCCTGTGTTTTAATTTTTAATCCTGTGATTTAATTTTTCTTTCTTTTAGTTGAAACTTTTGATATTTCTCCCATAACAAAAACTAATTGGAGTTACACAACACTGAATATTGGGTGAATCAGTGGTTCAGACCCCTGCTTAAGATGTAGTTCAGGACTTGTTGAACAGGCTTGGGGCAGCAGAGATTTGTGCATTTATAGTAAGCTCTTTTTGAATCATTCAGTGCTTAACGTAGTGAAACTCTTAGCTGCAAATAATTAATATGATCAGTCTCAGTCTTCTCATTTGTGCTTTGTAAACAGACCTTGGATGTCATCAATTTGTTTGCTATTCATTATCGATTGGCTGTATCACAAGAATGAATTTCAGTTTGTGTGAACAGTGTTTATTGGCTGCATCTGCTGTTCAGTATTACTGCTCTCACTGCTATGTGGGATTGGTCACTCCAGTCCTACAGCTTTGCTTGTCTCCCTTGATTGTTTTAGCGGTTAAAACATGAGGCTAATTGCTATCTTGGGATAGGGAAGGTAGTGATTGTGGTGTTGTGGTACTAGAATTAAGGAACTCATAAACAGTGTAAATTAATAGATGGTCTGGCAATACAAAACTGGATTGAGACTCTCCAGACCACTGGCAGCAAAGATGTACTGCCACTGAAAGTGGAGTGGGCTGTTCACATTTTCATTTGCTCCTTTTGGCACAGATGGATACTAAGTAGTTGGCTGAAATAGAATAAGCTTGCAAACAAGAGCATGAAATCACTAGTGAGTGAGGAAGGGAGAAGGGATAGAAAGAGTAAAGGAAGCAGGAAAAAGCAAGAGAAGAAGAGAACTATAACCCAGATGAAAAAGAATTAGCATTTTTATTTCTCAGTACTCTCCTGTGTAATTGCTTTCTGATCTTTCCTCTGTTATCCTGTAGACTTGTGGCAACACTTTTAAGCTGCTTAAGTATGTAGGTTTTAGCTTTCAGGACTTCCAAACTGACTCTCTTAAAACTTAAACAAGCAGCTTTTATGCTCCCTTTGTATTTATAGGGCATCATCATAAATTATATCCTGTCTCTAATGTCGCTTATAAATGAGATATGGAATAAAATTGAAGAAGAATTGACTGAATTTGTTTGAAGAAACATAACTAGTGTTATTCAAATTACTTTTCCATTTAAATTTAAGCAATTTTTATTTTTTGCATATGCTGACAATGATTCCACTAGGCCTGCTCATCTTTAAAAGAAGCAAACACTTAATGATGCTTCAATAGCCTAAGACTCCTGTAGCAAAATCTCAGTCTTTAAGTACAATAAGATAATCTATTTGGGTGATACAATGGTAGGATCCCTGGACAACTATACCCTTACAGTTTAAGTTTCCCACCCCTCATGGGAAATTGGTCCAATTACAATATTATCATATCCACTGCCTTTGTTGTCTCTACATGGGCTGTTTCTTCTCTTGTCCCTAAGGCTGCAACTTCTGTTAATGGGGGTAGTGGCCTTTCTTCATTCTTTATTTCTGAGGATCAATTTGGTCTGAAACCTTCTTTTACTTAAGTAGATAAAAAAGCTCAGGGTACCTCGGTGAAATTTCACAAGTTGCTGCCTCAATTTAACTCTCCCACCAAGGCTCTAAACCACACTGCTGCTTGCTTGCTCCCCTTTCTCCACCTCCATTCTGCTCCTTCCCCCACATTCTGAGGGTGGCCAGAAAGGAGAATTGGAGACACAAAAGGCAAAGATCAGGAGTTGAGAAAAGAACAATTTACTGGAAACAGCAATGAGATAAGAAAATAGACAACAATACTAATAACAAAAGTATAAAAAAGAGAAGGTGATTTACATGAGAAATGCTCACTAAGGACTTCAAAATAGGGAACAGTGGTGGACAATCCTAACATTTGGGTTTTTCTACCAGAAGCCAGGCTCTTCTTATCAGAAACCAGAGAGAGTCCCTTTCCCATGTCCCTGGCAACGACATGCGGTGGCACTGAGTGACACCAAGGTCCTGGCTGAAACTACAATAGTAAGTGACGCTAAATGATTAATGTCCTTTATTTCTTCACACAAACCAAACTAGATAATATCCAATCTCTCCATTTCATGTAATCAAAAAACTGTACTAAGTACTTCAGTTTAGAAATTATGTCAACAGGTTTCTGGAAATGGTTGATTAGGTCTACTTTGGCAGATTTACTGTCAACATTGTTGCATTGTGATATGAATATCCAGACCAGCCAAAGTACTTAATTTGCTAGTGCTAACCATTTTCCTCTCACTTTTAAAAATAATAAATTTGCAGAAATTAGGCTCACATAGTACCTGAGAAATAAAGTTAATAAACTCTGAAAACAACCATCTTCAAGGAGTAATTTATTTTGCTCTTGGTCTTTCAGTGTTTCATACTTGCCTGGGGATGACCAACAATGTTAGGATATCTGTGTTTGAAGGAAGAATGATTATTTGCTCATGTTATAGTTCTATACCTGGTGTCTAATTACCTCTTAAAAGAGACAATAAAAGACTGGCAATTCTGCCCAAACTTCACTGATAGTCATATTGTACTGTCTTTGGTACCATTGCCTTCTGTTTACTCAAGCATGTATCAGTGGGAGTGCATGAGCTAGCCTAAACAATACAATTATTTATCATATATTATTTACTATTACATTTTTTCTCTTATTGTGTTTTCTGACAGCACATAATTTCCTTCTTTAAGAGGACAAAACTTTTAGATTAATGACAATATACCAGCTGATCTACTGTTGTGCCAAGCATTAAAAGACTAATATAAAGGTAAGGTTGTTCATTTAAGCAGAAAGGAGTTGCTTGTAGCTTTGATGGAAGCCTGTCTTCCCGTACTGCCTCCATGTGACATTTCTGGCTCAATTTTCTGCTTCTCCGAGTCTTCAGCGACAATCCTTTCCTTTGACTATTTTGAATCACAAAGGAAGCTTGATTATGAAAATTAACAGCATGTCAGAGAAAGAAATATGGAGTTATTATGATATTCTTGGAAAATAGAAGTAATTTGGAAGCGTATTTTCTAAAGTCTGAATTCAAAGATTAAACCCTCAACTGCCATAAAGTAAGGTTAACTGTTAGTTTAAGGTAACAGTTTTAACTAGAGTAACTGCATTCATTTATGCTAGCATGAGTTGGCTCTGTGTTTTAGAAAGAAAGTGTGCTCCCAAATTCCAGTGGATAGTATTTTAGCAAACACTTTGATTCTACTCACTAAGCCCTTTGCAGCTTAGAAAGCTTGGGTCATTCTAAAGTGATGTTAGCTTGGCTGTGTCCTGGGGATCACCAATAAAAATCAATTTAAAGAATGAGAATATTCAATGCTCACAGGTTTTTTTTTCAACTCTGAGTGAATCTAAATCACTCAGATTTTCAGCAAAAGGGCTAATATGCTAGAAGGACCAAGAGGTTATTGTAAAGGTGTACAATATCATAGTTATTTTACTTATTTAAATGTACCTTGGCAGCAAAACTATAGTATCTGGCAGCATTTAGAAAGCAATCTTGAACTGATATAAAGTGGCATGCTTACTACTGCTTTTCCATATTAAAGAGAAAATTCTGTTTTTGAAAGATGACTGTCATGGTTTAACACAGTCAACAAATGAACCTGGTATAAATGTTTGCTCAGTTCCCCCCTGGTGGGATGGGAGAGTGAATAAGAAGTACAAAAATGAGCAAACTCATGGGTTGAGATAAAGACAATTTAAAAGGTAAAGCAGAAGCCACACATACAAGCATAAAAACTGAGGAATAAATTTTTCGCTTTCCATGGGCAGCCAGGTGTTCAGCCATCCCCAGGAAAGCAGTGTTTCATCATATGTAGTAGTTGGGAAGACAAATCCAGAACTCTGAACACCTCTTCTTCCTCCTTCTTCTCTTCCCAGTTTTATATGCTGGACATGACACCATATGGTATGGAATATCCCTTTGGTCAGCTGGGGTCAGTTGCTCCATTTGGATTCCCTCCAATTTCTTGGATACCCCGGACCTACTCATTGATGGGGTAGTGTGGGAAGGAGTTATTCCTGAGTATGTAAGCACTGCTCAGGAATAGCTAAATATCTCTGTACTATCAACACTACTTTCAGCACAGATCCAAAATGTACCTGTATACCAGCTACTGTGGATAAAATGAATTATATCCCAGCCTGAACCAGCACTGACTCAAAGAAAATTGCTACATTCTTTGATTCAGAGTGTGACGGTCCAAAGAGCAGCTGCCTTGTTCTAATGTATTCAGAAATTGTTACATTATTTGTGAAAAATATGCTTTGTGATAAATTGTATCATTTTGCCTTTTTTTTCTTTTTTTTCTTTTTTTTTTTAATAATAAGAAGTTCATTGCCTGTTTTTCCTGTTTCATTTATTTATTTTGGGCTATTATGCTACATTTTTTTTTTCATTCTTCTCCTTTCTAGAGATTACACTGAGCCTTTGTCCATTTAGTTATTCTTGACTAATACTTCAGTTGCCTATTTCTTATTGAGAAGTCTTCTGTCCCCCTTTTTGCTTTATTTCTCTGCAGTTACTGCTACAATGGTTAGGTCTGTGTTAATTTTGCAAGTGTCTTCACTGCAAATAGTCTTGTTCTTTTAAAGGAATAAAGTTCTGAATGAATATAGAAGAGTAACATGTTTATGCACAGCAGTTCACTAATCATCATGTTATAACCACTCAAACATGTTGCCAATATTACATTTCCATCCAACGCATGCATTATATTAAAAATATGGATTTTTTAACTTTCTCTTAATAGAAACTCCTGAGTATGTAATAGAAGGGTTCAATAATTTGTGACTCATCCAAGGCTTGGTCTCTTTTGAGTTATAATGGGAATTAAGTTCTTGAAAGGGTGCTTGAAAATAACCTGAAGTGCTCAAATATCAATGATTATGGTCAATGTTCTATTCAAAACAACTTTTCTCTTTGTGTTTTGATGAGACAATTTATTCCCCCATAGTGAGGTTTCAACCAAGAGACCATGCTCTTATTTGGATATGCTCTTATTAATGATCTAAGGGTCTTCTCATGAAATAGAAGCCTAATGTCCAACAAATCTGTTTGGTTGCAAAGCAAGACAAGAATTTCAAAAGAATTATTAAATCAGCTAGAATTTGATGCCACATAAAGGGTGAAATCTAATTAATTCCATAATTTGACTCACTCATTGACACCTCAATCCATTCCTCATTAGTACAGGGTTTGACAAAAAAATTAGTTTCTGCCACTCATTTATATATGGTAATGTTATTAGAGCAAGTCAAAATAAGGGAAAATTACCTTGCTTTATATTTATTGACACTGATGGGGTCTTTGCCAATAGAAATAGGAATCTAACATGCAAATTCACTATTGCCTTTGAGAGTTCTGTCAGATTTTGGGTTTGCCCTATTCAATTTTCTTCCTTTCCCCCCACCCTCCTTTCCTGCTATGACCTTTTAAACAAGAATGGGAACTGACAGACTGGCTACCTACAGAAGAGAAAATAATTAAGCTGCCCAGCTGCAGCACTGTCAAAAGCAGAGATTGTAAACTGAAGGAGAAAAAAAAGAAAACCCATTTTTCCTCTGATTTTTTTTTCCATCGTACTTCTTCTGGCGTATATATCACTCTAAAGATTCTCTATTTCATCCATTACAAATGGTGTGTTATATAATATATTCTTAAAATAGAATGGATATAAGAGAGCTCTGAATTGTTTTGATACATTTAAAAAATTTTGCAGTGCCTCATAACATATTCAGTTTAGAGAGAGTGTTAATAAATATTCAGTTTATTATACTGTCCTGCCATGCATTTTAAATATCTACAAAACGTATTTATTTAAATAATCAGATACCTGTGCAATTAACAATAGCTGGTACATTATGCATGATTCTTGGCTACTAATAGTGAAAATCAACTGCAGTGTTCCATTAGTGGTTTTCAGATTGTTGCTGAGTTTTCTGTAATTGATGCTACTTGAGACAGTCCTCAAAGCTGCAAAACCAAAAATAGTGTCTTCCATCTCTAAGAAAATCCTTTCTCAAGGGTTCCCTTTCCTTCAAAACTAGAATGAGAGTGGGCTAGAGAGAGTGAGAAGACATAATCTCACATTCTCCATCATGTGTCATGATAAAAAGCTTTTCCTGGCTTCTCAGCAGGCAGTGACATTCAGTTACTCCTGGCAGTTTGCAGCACAGGAACTTGCTCTATGGGCTGTAAAAAGGTCAGGATGTTGTCTGTGATTCTATGACTGTATTTATGAAAGTGACTGTACTTATCCCATCATCCTGATGGGAGCAGCTTCAATCTGGACTACAGAGTTACATCACATAATCTGAGAAACCTTTTACACCACACATGCAGTGTAACACACCCAAGTGCAAAGATCTAGGCTGTGAGGAAATGGCAGGCAAACCTGTAAATTTAATTTGTGATTGAGGGCACTTGGACCAGTTGTACGAACAAGGCAACAGGAGGTTTACGGATAGCAGCTGGGAGTGTGTTCATGGCTAGCTTTATAGCTGGTAACCAAGGGGATCTGGGGAGCTTTCTCATACCTTTGCTCTTCATACTTCTACAAAACACCACTACGTCACCACACTGACCTAAGTGCTGACGCAACTTTGGGAAGCATGAGGGAAAAACTTCTCCATGTTAAGTCATGTTTAATAATGAGTTCTGGTGATGCTGGAGATGCGCCTAGACACTATGCTGGCCTGGTCTGTGACACCTACCACCTGCATGTATTCTTAACGTAAACTGGAGGGACACACGAGAAAATGTGTTCATAAATCCTCTTCAAGAATCCCCAAATTTCACTTGCACAAGGCTTAAAATAGTGGTTTTGCTGCCATATTTATTCCTGACACTTGTAGAAACTGCAGGATCCTTCCAGGCATGTCCCAATAACAAGGGCGGCTGAGAGAATTCTGTGTGGGTCTGCTTGCAGAGCTGAGCTGTTTCCTGGGTGTGATAGCATGCTGCCAGACATGTAAAGCAGGAGAAGGGGGTAAAAAATCATGATGAAGAAGGAGGAAGCCAAGAACTAATGTGTGTCAAAGTGCTATCTGGAATAGAGCCTTTTCAAAATGAACGTTGAACAAGGCTCTTCCCCCTTGGGAAACTGGCTTATATTGATGGTATGTGAAGTGGTATCTCCATCAGAATTTGAATATCTCTTGGTCCACCCTTGGGAGAAAGGATTTTTGTTTGTCTCTAAGAAGCTTGGCATTATTCAACACAAATGATAATGTGAAATTTAGCATGCTGGTAGTAGATTTCTTTCCTTAGCTAATGGAATTTCTACCGAATCATGGATGTCTTGAATCAGAGTTTAATTCTGCAGATGTGCTGGTGTTAAGATCAGCAGAGAAGTAAACTCCAAATAAAACACTTCCCTTTCCCCAACACTTTCAGTAAGTGAGGGACAAATTTTTCAAAAAGGTAATAATAGGGCTTGAAGTAACAATTTACTGAAAGCACAAAGCAATGGAAAAAGACACACACAGTAACAACAGTAACATTAATGGCAAAAGTATACAAAACCCAAGGTGTTTTATCCAGAAAAAGGTATTCTCTATTGAGAACAAAACCAAGATGATGAACGCTCCCTGGAGGATGCATCCGTGCTGTTTCCCCAGACGAAGGCGATACAGCAACCTGCATGAATGGATTCCCATGCCTTGTGCCATGTGGTATTTGGGGAAAAAATGCAATATGGTGACGGTTTCCTTGCATTGCCTGTATGGTATTTGTGAAACAAAGGCAATATGGTAAAGGAGCTCCCACAGCTAACGCTTCCCCCTTCCCACCATGAAAACAATGAAAAACATGGACAAAGGAATCCCTCTGAGTGAGGTAGTCTGAGCAGGTATCATGCAGCCACTTTGCTGAGCTCAGACCCAGGCAGTTGCTTGAGCTGCAGCTTCTATCTCTGAAATGTTCCTGCTCCAGTGCTGACTCTGTGCCACCCCGGCCTTTCGGGGTACAGCCATGTCTCAGAGCTGTCCCTTCAGCACCAGGCCTGGGAGTGGCACCGCTGTCCCTTTCAGCACCGAAGGTCTGTAGTCACACTGGAGAAAAAGTGAGGTGCCAGCATGTGGGTGGCAGAGGAGCTGAGTCTGCAGGGGTTGATGGTGACAGTGCCTTCACTGGAGAGAGCGAGGCATGATCATTATCTGGCACCCTGTCTCGTCCTGCTGAAACCCACAGCCCCAGTGATGATGGGCTTGGTGTAGAAGAAACAACTCAGTCACACACAGAGTACTAAACTCTATCCCTTTCTCTGTAACCAGGACAGTAGAAAAACTCTCTTGTATAGCCAATTTTTTTATTTGATGTCAACTCTGTTGACGTATCATTTGCAGACATTGAACCAATACATCCATTAACTTTGAAAGCTTTGCACAACAAAGCAATCTCTGCATAGAAAATGTGTACTGGTATGCAGAGTACATAATTCCACAAACCTGAAACCCTTGCAGCATGGATCAATGGTTACAGCTGCATGTAAGCCCCCAAGAATGAGAATTTGATTTCTCAGGAACAAGACTCAGTCGGAGATCAGTAAGTGGTGAGATGTTAAAAGCATTAGGCAGTAAGGTTTACTGCTGACAGAGTAGTCTGTCACCATGCTTGTATTATTACAGAAATGTTACCAGTATATTGTTTTCTACACACAGACCTACAATATCTGGTTCAGTTATTTCACATATTTTATAGTGTAGTAGGGCATTAAAGCATATGGTAATAAAATAGCCAGTTGTTCTACACATTTTGTTTCTTTTGTTGGTCATGCAGTGTAATTTGCAATATATTCTGTAGGTCTGTAGAAGTAATGTGTTTTTCCTTTGTGTTTTCTGAGTTGGCTGAATTTGTGTGGGGCTTTTTTGGTTTTGGTTGATTTTTTTTTTTTCAGGACTGTGCTTTTACATATCAGACTTTAAGCCCCATAAAAATGGTTGCAAGAGAAGAATTTGATTTGTCAGGGCAGCTAAGTTGTGCTGCTCAGCTGTGATACACTTCACAACAGCCCTCCAGCTGAAGTCGCTCTTGTGGGGATTGTGTTGAGAGAAGGGGCTGGTACAATATTGTCTACCAAGACACAGATACTATAGAGAAAAGGGTACTTTCAAACCCCAGAGCTGCAGAACATGTAGAGCGTTCTGGGTAGCACTGACTACTGCTGGGAACAACAGACAACCTGACAGCTTAGAGCTGCTGCATCTGGAAGATCCTAAATCTTGAACATGTGGTTCAAGTGGTAGACCAAACCCTGCTTTACTTATTTATTGAAACTTGATGGTCCTGAAATTC